GTTGGCCCCATCTGCATGATCTCATTCACAGCATGGTGTCCTTTCTTGGCTTAGCGGCCTGGAGGGTCAGGTTCGTTCACCATCCATGATCCAGAAAATGTTCAAGCAGAAATTTATGGCCATTGCTTTTAGGGAAGGAGGGGACTGAATTAAATTTTAATATGAATCCATGGCATTTGGAATGTTTAAGGATTGGGATAGGGAAATAAACCCCAATGAGTGGTCCTAAATCGCTCCAAAGGTACCAAATGACGTGGCAACATCTGAGTTGGCTGTCCCTTATTTTTCATGTAAGATTTGGTCTTTTTTAACTCCTGTATGGTCTCCTTAATCTCATAGAACCTGTTCTGGCCGTGAAAAACCCTCTGAGAAGTGTAGAAGTGGTCCCTGGCGGGGAGGCAACTTTTACTATTGATCTGACTACCACGTGTTTCGGCTTGTGGTTCATTAATGGAAAAGCATTACAGAACAGCGACAAATACATCATTACCAGGACGAAAACGAGCCACGGCCTCACCGTCAAGCGGGTCACAAGCGCTTTCAAAGGGGCAGAGGTGAAATTTGTCACCAAGAACATTGAAAGCACCGCCACAATCAGTTTGAAAGGTATTTTCTTATGTGCATCCTTTGGGACTATTTTTTGGGGTGGGGTGATCTTTGAGTGGCGAGGAAACTTGGGGCAACCGAGTCCATCCTTGCTGGGTTGGAGAAGCCTTCAGTGACGGCATTGCTTGTCCAGCCTCCAGCAAAAGAGGATCCTCCAGCGTGCAGGACAGATGTTAGGTCGGCCAGGCTGCCAGAGATAATGGGAGTTTGAGTCCAGCACATTTCAATCAATCAATCAATCAATCAATCAATCAATCCCCACAGATATTTCTATTCAATGGGAATAAACACCATGGCCACAATCCACCCCTTTGCTCTGTGTGGTCACGTTGGCCAGCCAATGAGAATAAAGAAAGCCATGATGCGTCTGTTGCCAGGGAGTGGAGGGCAGTAGGGCCCAATGGGTGGAAGGGGTCATGCAGCCATGGCGAAATGATGATCTCATGTTTGGACGACCAGGGAAACTGCACTAAACCCTCAATTCCCTCTGTGGCTTCAGAAAAAGACTCCTCAAAGAGGGACTCTGGGACAGGGGTAGGCTGCAGTTTGTCACTGGGGAGGGAAAGCACTCTTTACATGCCCAGAGGTACTTCCCTATGTTGAATAGTTCCTTCTGCTTGCTTCTTCAGGGAAGGAGCTTGGACAAAGCGGGGGGCATTGTGCGTTTTAGAAGAGGCTGGGAGGGGCTGTACCAGAAAGATCAGGAGGACTTTGGGATTTTTTAAAACTAAGGGGGATACGTGATTCTGATAGCCAGAAATTGAACCTTGATATCCTTTTGGGTAAACCCATTGTAGGTAGGTAGGTATATATGCTATTGACGTCGCCAGTCTGCCATTTTGATTAAAAAAACCACTCTGAGGCAGCTTATTTATTTCTTTTATTTACAATATTTTTATCCCAACCTACACAATCCAATTGTCCCAGGGCGGCTTACAATATAAATTAGCAATAAATGCACAAGCAATCAAAAGATACAGTAACAAAATGCGACTGAGACTATTGATAACACCAAATTAAAATTATTTAAACCTTAAAATGTTGGGTGAATAAAAAGGTTTCTATCTGGCGCTGAAAATAATATAAAGTTGGCTCCAGGCGAACCTCTCTGGGGAGCACATTCCACATCCGGGGGCCACCACAGAGAAGGCCCTGCTCCGGGCGTTCAGTCCCCTAACCTCCTTCAAGGAAGATTCCCGGAGCAGCTCGTGTAAATAACTTGCAATAAGCTGCATTTCTGTTTTGCCTATGAAATGGCTCCATGTAGCTGCTATTCTTTCAGCATCTGTGTAATCATCCACGCTAGAACAAGCCAAAGACATTATACCAGTACGTAATTATTCAAATTTTGATGTTTTCCTTCTTTCAAAATTCCTGATGCTGTCATTGGTGCAGAGGCCGAGGAAGTGCCTGTCAACAAGGAGAAGGCCCAGAAAGAGATCAAGGTGGTCCTTTCCGGGAACGCCTCCCTCACCTGCGAGGCCCAGATGGATGTGAAATGGTTCCTGGATGGGAAGCTGATTGCTGCTGGCAAGAAATTTAAGATAGAAGCTGACAGCCATTCCTCCCGGCTGGTGATTCAGCAGGTAGAGGAGAAGGAAGAGCGTGAGGCCCCTGGGCAGGAACTTACCTCCAATGTCATTGCAACGAGTCCCAAAGGTATTTTCCTGGATACCGTCTTCGCACATCGCAGCAGCCGCTCTGGTAAGGTGGAGCAGCCGACAACCCTGCCTTCCCAGGTTGTCTAGCGTGGTATCCGGACCTGGACCTCTGGCTTGCTTCTCCCCTGGAACAACCCTAGAATCGGCCACGGATTCTTCTCTGGCTTGTTGGAGGAGAGACAGGCCGGAGGTGTAGGGCAGGCACAGGGCTAAGTGGCTCAAGAAGAGAGCATCTGTGGCTCTTTGAACCGTGCCAGCATGCGCTGGGCCTGTGCCAGCAATGCCCTTTCCCACCACAACCCACAGTTTTAAGAACATCACAGGTTGCCATATTGTGCATGCCGATCCGACGCGCTTTGCAAGAAGGTTGCCCCTGGATGCCTCCAGCTGCTGTGCTGGACAATTTGTAGGTGTGCTCGTTGTTCAATCAGCTGATTTTATTTGAGACTCTCCAGGGTGTTTGGGAAACTCCAGCTGTTCATAGGTATTGTTGCATTTTTACCGTACAGAATCCGAGCCAAAATTCCAGGGGAAGGTTGCCCAGGAGAAGCCCATTGTGGTCCAGGAGGACAAGACCATCATCCTGTCCACTTCAGTGGTGCCTGAGGATGCTGAGGTCAAATGGTTCAAGGATGGAGTTGAGATCAAAGATGACAAGAAGCATGAGATGGAGAAGGAAGGGGGCACCCGAATCCCGACCGTGAAGCAGGCTGAGGTCAAAGACGCCGCTGTGTACACCTGTGAGACCAGGAGCGATAAGCAAGTGCAAGTGCAAGGTGAGAAGAAGCCGCCAGAATTAGCCAGAAACGAGGTTTGGCTGGGGGCTGCAAGGGGGTGGGGGCAGCTACAAGGGCTACTGTGGGCCAGCCCTGCCTCTCCAGCCTCGTAGCCGCCTGCTGGGCACGTGCAGACCAAAGCAGCAGTCCTGCCTGGCTTCTCAGGAAGGGGCAACGCCAGCACAGGGCTTCTGTGTTGGAAGCTCACCCAGCAGCCCGGGCGACTGGGAAGTCCATCCTGTGCCTGGCAGGACAGCAGCGGTGAGCTTGCCGAGAGGTTTTTGTGCGATGGAACATTTGTGCTGAGCTTGAGCCTGGGCCAGCAGCCAAGATCTTCTATGCCCTCCTCCACGTCTTTGTAATTTTTGCTCAACCCATAAACTTGCATGACCTGTAAGACAGCGTAGACTGCATATAAAATATATACAGTGCATTTATGACTCCTATCACTGCAGCACTGAGTGATGCCTTGCACAGAGGAAGGTGCACAGCTCTGCGCGAAACTTTGCATGGCACAAGACCAGAGCAAGTGCCGTACTTTTTCTAGAGTGTGTTCACAGTGCAGGTGAGCATCACCAGGTGATGAAGACATAACAGCGGAGAAGCCTTTGCTTGCTTCCCCCGAAATAAAATTCTCTGCATTCATTCTGTGGTGCTTACTCTCCATCGAGCATCTCCCGCTCCCGAAGTTTCTTCCTTCCTAGAGTGCAGACGGATGGACCATCTACAGAACACTTGTATAGCAACAACGAGGCAGTCTGACTTTCTTTTCCACCCCAATATCCTGGGAATTGTAATTTGATGAGGCCACCGAGTAGTCCAAAAGCTGCTGCAGTTTTCTCCGGACAGATATGTCACTAATATCCTTAATTTTAATCTGCCCCGTAGCCTGCATTCTCTGGGTGAATTGCAAGCACTTTGCATTTGATGTTCTGAGTTTAGGTTTCAGCTGTGAGCTTGTCTGAGCTCCCGGATGTTCCTCGTTGTTCTTAAATGTGCACAGAGTTCTGCATGGATTTCATCTTTAAAATGAAGACCCATAACTGGGAGGGCTGTTTCTGC